TACCTTGATTCATGCTAAGGTGCCAGCAGCTTTACCCATCATTGCTTTTGCACTATTGTCACAAATGTCCCATGATGAAAAAGGCAAATAACTTCTTTCCAGTGTTATGGAAATAGTTTTGACCTCATGGACCCTCAGAAAAGGCCCTGAGAATCCCCAGGTGTCTGTGAACTATGTTTTGAGAACCACTGCTCTTAAAATTTGCAGAAGGCCAGCTCTCCCCAGGATGCAGAATGTAGCTACTAGTACATTTGGGAGGAGAGGTGAAGTCTCCTTCAAACAGGGCAATTTGCCTTCTTTTTTGGAGCCCAAGATGGACTTTTTATTTCCTTGCAGAACTGAAAGCATCTGGCTTGGGAGCACGATTATTCTCCACTCACCTTTAAACTGCCTCAGCTATTACTAAATCTCTGGCAGTGATATGTTGATTATGTGAATTTAAAGCCCATAGGAGCCAGAGGAATGACAGATCAGATTCTCTTAAATGAGAAATAAAATCCAGGAGCCTGGCAGCAGGACATACGGCTCTCGCTCCTGCTGACCTTTGATGTCACTCTGGTAGAATGACTGCTTCCAGGCCAGATGGCATGTGGCTTAAACAGAGATGTCTCAACCTGTTTCCTAGTATTAATTGTGCACATTGATACTCCTTTGTTGTATAGTCTATAATTCTTCATTGTCAACCTCATTTATTTTTTGAGAGGAAGCTGAATTCCAGCAGGCCTCCATGAATTCAAGCTATTTCAAAAGCTCCAATTTCATTTAAGTCTCCAAACCCAAACCTTTTTCTATCCAATCACTGTAATAGGCTGACAGACACTAAATCTCCCTTCTGTCAATTGAATGTAAGTCTAGCAACTTTTAAGAGCAATGAGATTGAAGGAAAGAGTGAGTCTCTGTGCCCTAAAGGAGGTGGCAGAATGGAAGCCCATCTAATTTTTTGTTTAAAGGTACTAAATAGGGGTCAATTTGTAAAGGCAGCTTTCGGAGTGTAGCAAGATAGATTCTTAAATCTGATAGAGATAAATGGGAGGTCAATATCCTTTTTCTTATCAACAATTTCACCAAATAACATTTACTATGAACTTTCAGGTTGGGTTTCTCAGCTATAAACAAGCAAATACTCCAAGCAGAGATACTGGAAGTACTGAACCAGGGCAGTTCCTGAGTATGGAGCCGGAAGCTAATTGCTTGTCTATGGAAAAGCATGGTTTCATTACTCAAAAGCCGAACTTATGATTTATTTCTAAATTAATTAGAAGCAGATCCAATGAGCAACAAATGCAAATGGAGTCAACTGGGAAAAGGAGCTGACTGTTTTCACTCAGGGTCATTCTGTCACATGAAAAAGTCTCAGTTTTGACAAAAAACAAAAATAAAACACTGTTTCAAGGAAAGAAAATAAGTTGCGGACATTATATCTGAGAGATTTTCCCCTTTGTATTCATGGCATTTGAATTATATGCACATCACTTAAAAAAAATTGAGCCTTCAATAAAGAACCTGGTAAGTGACTAATTGTAGTTTTAAAACAGGAACATTTGTGTATGTTTTGTTGCTCTAAGTTTTAGTTTTTGCTCAGAATTCTGGTTCACTGTTTATAATAGGGCAGATCATCCATGCTTTTTTAAGAACCACTTTGGCTTATAAAAAATACAGCACCCAACCTCCAACTCCCCGACAGGCCCCGGTGTATGATGTTCCCCTCCCTGTGTCCATGTGTTCTCATTGTTTGACACCGCTTATAAGTGAGAACATGTGATATTTGGTTTTCTGTTCTTGTGTCAGCTTGCTGAGAATGAAGGTTTTCAACTTTATCTGTGTCCCTGCAAAGGACATGAACTCCTCCTTTTTTTATGAATGCATAGTATTCCATGGGGTATATGTGCCACAGTTTCTTTATCCAATCTATTATTGATAGGTATATTGGAACCAACCCAAATACCCATGTAACAAAACTGCATGTTCTGCACATGTACCCCAGAACTTAAATAAAATTAAAATTAAAAAAATTAAAAAAAAATTAAAAATTATTAGTACTGGCCAGGTGCAGTGGCTCACGCCTGTAATCCCAGCACTTTGGAAGGCTGAGGCAGGGGGATCACCTGAGGTCGGGAGTTTGAGACCAGGCTGACCAATGTGGGGAAGCCCCATCTCTACTAAAAATACAAAATTAGCTGAGCGTGGTGGTGCCTGCCTGTAATCCCAGCTACTTGTGAGACTGAGGCAGGAGAATCGCTTGAACCTGGGAGGCGGAAGTTGCGGTAAGCCAAGATCATACCATTGCACTGCAGCCTGGGCAGCAAGAGCGAAACTCTCTCAAAAGAAAAAAAAAATATGGTACTGCTTTAAAAGTTTCTAAGCCAACAGAATTTCAAATGATCTAAAACTTAAATCAACATGTAATAGGATCTCTGGTTTGAGAGAAAAACATGAAAACATGTGTCAGCCTTAGTGTTTAGAGGCCAGGTACGTTTGGAGACTCCGTGAGATGAGCACATAAAGAATTTATTTGCACGAGGGATGAAGTTGCTTCCTGTGAATGAACGAACCTGAGAGAAAGTAGCATTGCTGGGATATTGAAACGGTCAAGAACTAGGGGATGGTATCAGAGGCAAGTGACACTGTTCATTTAAATTTAAACTAGCCACTACCAGCTTATACTACTAAAGCACTTGGCAGAGGTGCAATAACTAAGATCAAGTAAAATCTGAAAGAATGATTTCAGAATAATGTCTTTAAGACATTGGGGAGAATAAGCCTGAAGTGTTTTGTAGGCCAGTAACAGCATGAAATGAAAGGGAGCACAGAGGTCCATTTATCTTCTTGGACTCAGTGGCAGCTTCAGTGAATATTGTGTCTTTGCTGGGGCAGTTGTGACTGCTTATTTGTGAGCATGGTGCCTTAGGTGGTTATTGGGGCATTGTTATGTTTTCATCATTAGTGTAGTCAAGAATAAACCCAGCCAGGCGCAGTGGCTCATGCCTGTAATCCCAGCACTTTGGGAGGCTGAGGTGGGTGGATCACCTGAGGTCAGGAGTTCAAGACCAGCCTGGCCATCATGCCGAAACCCCATCTCTACTAAAAATACAAAAATTAGCTGAGTGTGGTGGCATGTGCCTGTAGTCCCATCTACATGGGAGGTTGAGTGAGGCAGGAGAATCACTTGAACCCAGGAGGTGGAGGTTGCAGTAAGCCAAGATCAGAGATTGTACCACTGCATTCCAGGATGGGCAACAGAGTGAGATTCCTTCTCAAACAAACAAGAAAAAAATCAACAATCCAACAAGCCAGAGCCAGAAAAGAGGAAAATGATCACTGCTATGTGGTAACTGAGTACTGAAACCAACATAATTCATTGTTGCTATGTAAAACAATAATGGACATGATAATAGTTTTCTGTTCCCATATTAATCCATTTTGAACATAAGCTGGAATTAGCTACTTATTCCAGCAAATATCTTTTCCTGAAAAATAAAATTGTAAAACAAGAGTTTACTTAAGAAGAATACCACCTTCCCCATCAAAACTTGCTTCAATATTCTCCCCCTGTTGTGCCCACCAGTCTATAGCTATCATGTCACAAAATTTACCCCATCACAATTAGATGCTTGCTTTGCAAGACTTTCCCTGAAACCACCCAGCTTAGTCTCCAATAACCTTCCCTGTCATTTCCCTTCTGAGACACTGCCTAGACATTGTTAAGGCAGAGCTCTCTCATACTGCAGTAAGTCTCATAAGATACTTTGCTTTGATTGATCAGTTTTTTTTTTTTTTTTTAGTATTTTGGGAGAGGGCAGGGAGTAGGGGTTGACAGCCAATAGCTAAAAGGGTGAATGTCTGCACATTCAGGAGTATAGAGGTGCCACAATTATGGGTGGAGTGGAGACAGAAAAATATGATGTGTTGCTATTTTATGAGCCAGTTTGTACTTAGAGGCAAGGTAAGACTTAAGGAAATGTGGCCTTAATATCCATAACCCTTTTTAAATTTAAGCAAGAACAGCAAATGTCTAAAAAAGGTCTAGCCTGGTGCAGTTACCATCTATTCACTTATTTTCTTCTTCTCTCTCTTTTTTTTTTTTTTGAGACACAGTCTCATTTCGTCGCTCAGGCTGGAGTGCAGTAACGCGGTCTCAGCTCACTGCAACCTCAGGCTCCCAGGCTCAAGCGATTCTCCAGCCTCCTGAGTAGCTGGGATTACAGGCACATGCCACCATGCCTGGCTAATTCTTGTATTTTTGGTGGAGATGGGTTTTCACCATGTTGGCCAGGTTGGTCTGCAACTCCTGGCCTCAAACGATCTGCCAGCCTTGGCCTCCCAAAGTGCTGAGATTATAAGCGTGAGCCACAGCACCTGACCCTATTCATTACTTTTTCCATGATTTTTCCTTGTCAAGGTAAATGTAATGCTCCCTTCCTCCAGACAAAGGTGACTTTAAATTTACTTTATCGTGAAATCACAAAATGTTAAAGGTGTATTTTGCGTGTATGTACATATACATACGTACACACACAAACCATCCTATCTTATTCCAATGAGAGATTTGAAGCAGTTTACAAAAATGCAATAGGATAAAAACAAATAAGTTAGTCCTAGAAGGCAAAGCTCTGCAGGGCCTGCCGGAAATTTATTCCCCATGCCTGTCAGTTTCTGTTTCCACAAAGACTCCTTTCTCTGTGAGCACTGAAGAGCAGCATTAGTAAACACAACACTGAAACTTTTTCTTTCTCGGCCCAAACTCCCTCACTAGAGTGGTGGGACAGGGCAGGTAAGAAGAGAAGGAAGCCCTTAAAGGTCAAAGCAGTGGAGGGTTGGGGAGTGATCGGATCGCACTTCTGCCTTCTAGGCTTGGGAAGATGGTGCGCATGCGTTTTAACGCGCACGTTACTGGCACATGACTCCCGGTCCCTTGTGTTCCGAACTTGGATCCTAATGACGCTGATAACGGGTTACTAGGCACTCATAGTTTTGGATCGTTGGGTGGCCTTGATGTTAGCAGAAGAATTCATCTAAAGGTTGTTTTTAAGGAAGTAGACAAACCTAAATCTGTGTCTCAACTCCAAGGAATGTGAACAAGATGCCTGCTGGTGAACAAGAATGTGAATGTAATGAAGGGAAGTACTACTCTAAAGGAGGTAAACTGTTGAGGAAAGAGAAAAAAATTCCTGGTTACCTTTGGGGGGACATTAAGATCAATATCATAGGTAAAAAGGATGATTTACCAATTCATTTCTGTGACAAATGTGATTTGCCTATTAAAATCTATGGGCGAATAATTCCATGCAAGCATGCTTTTTGCTATGACTGTGCTAATTTATATGACAAAAACAGATGTAAAATATGTCCAGGCTGTAGTTATCCTGTGCGTCGAATTGAGAAGCATAAACGAGGTTCTCTCTTCATGTGTAGTGATGTTCAGGGATGCAAGAAAACATATTCGTCTCAGAAAAGCTTACAGGCTCATATCATACGCCGCCATAAGAGAGCCGGAAAACATGATAGCAGTACTTCACTTGAAAAAGTTCATCCCTGTATTGCTCCGCCACGAACTGAAATCTCTGAAATCCCTAAAAGACTGCAAGATGAGGGCCATCTAAGCTATATTCCACCAGAGCAGCACACCATGATGCCACCACCGACTGTGCCACATATGTCACACAAGCACTATAATCGGTCACATAAGGATATTTGGGCTCCTCCCAAAGAATTATCTCCAAGTCCGCCTTTTCCCATCCAGTGGGAAACCATTAGTATTTTTACAAGAAAACAAGGCAATGTAATAACTAAGCATATTCAGAAGAACTCCAATTCTGGTGCTAAGAAGCCATCATCTCCTGACTATTCTCTGGAGTATCAAGGTCAACCAGTGGTATCATACCCTAATCATATTAGGCCTCGAAAACAGCATTATGCACAACCTCCATCTCCATCATCAACGGTAAACCATCCAATGCCATATCCTCCTCAGGATGTAGGTACTCCTAATTTGATTTCTAGCCAAGTGCCAGCGCTAACCACCACCTACGATCCATCACCTGGATTTGTTATTGTCCAGGTGCCACTTTTCATGAAATCTCCCCTACCACCTATTCCCCAGTCTCAAAATGGGAATCCATCTGAAAGTGAATTCACTTTTCACCATTATAACTCTAACTTTTTACCTCAGTCCACTGAAAATCAGGAAACTTTGAACCCTCGTCTTACACAAAGAGATGCAACGGATCGTAGATTATGGCTTGGATGGAAAGTACTGCCACCTCCACCAATGTGGAATCCACCTTCTTCAAACCTACATCGTGAATCACATCATTCAGACCAGAGAAGAGAGAAACCATATTAAGGATGATAATAGTATTTTCAACTGAAGACCTGATGAGAAAAGAAAAACAACTTCAAGTTCTATACTGTATTGTGGACAAGTGGCTCAGTTCAGCACAGCTGTAGTTTAACAACTTTGTTCCTCTGGTGTGGTAAATTGACCTAAAGGTGACCTCTGATGATTTCCTGGAATAAATATGTATGGTTACATTTTCAAAAGTATTGCGGTTTTTATTTTTTTGGTGATATGTTTGTTAACTTGTGTAAAAGGATTAAATTTCAATATGGTTGTAAAAATGCTATTTTTATGTGAATTTAAGTGCAGCCACATACTGTTTTTTAAATCATATGTTTTACCACTAATTTCCCAAAGTTACAATAAAACCCTAAAAGTAAAACTGTACTAGAATTTGCATAAGGCAGACTGTTAAATGATAGAGAATTATTTCACATTTTAGGCACTGAAATTTAGAGGTTTTGAGGTATAGTAAGTATACAATGCACTTCATTTGGATGCCTTTTCATTTTTAGGCAGCCCCAGAAGCACCAAAATACATGGGAATTCCAGTACTATGATAGATTTATGTTTGCAATGTTAAAAGGCATCACTAAATCATTTGGAAAGATATGGCCAAAGTAATTGAATCTGTAGGCTCCAAGCTGGTGGGGACGATGTTACTTGTTAATGCTTTTTTTTACAGAATGGTTCAAATCACATAATGTAGCACACTTACTAGTCTTAAGTGGCATTATTTTATAGCACTGATAAAATGGTATTATTTAGATGAAGTGTGTTCTACTTTGCTCATAGTATTAAATAAAATATTCAGGGAGGGCTGAAATAACTTTATTATAATTCTTTGTTTCATGGTAGAGTTTGATCATGTTTTTATGTGTTTTTCTGTATATTAAGTTTTAAACTACAGTTTGAATGCCATGGAGGAATTTGAATAATCTATTAATGAGGAGCATTGTTACAGTTACAAACTTGCACTTGCTTGGGTTTTATTATTGTGTGATGAGGGTTTTTCCTCCGACTTGAAATTAAAACTATTAATTCTGCCCTATTTATTTTATTGGTTAACAGTCTAAACTTGGGATGTTTTTGCATGAAGTTAACAGTAAAGACTACCAGATGACTTTGTATTGGAGAAAAGTAATAATTTATATGAATTTCACTGCTTTATTAAATGTCTTTAGAATGAGCTTTTGCATTTTAGGGGATTATTACAGTCCAGCTGTGATGACCACTTACATTTACACTACCATACTTTGTACAGAATTCATATCGATGAATTGATGTTCTTAGGATACTGTATCATTTGAATAAGCCCTCATGAAGATTTCTCCCCCTTAAATAGTACATAATATAAATATGAAATGTTAGTATGCAGATATTATTTATATTATTTACTAGAAGGTTTTTATATATTAATTTAGGACATATTTCTTTTTGGCAAAGGATGAACTGACTGCTAACTTATCAATTTACTGTGTTGGGTACAGGCAAAATAAATTCTTGTCTTGGCTGATCTGATGCTCTCTGAGCTTAGAGCTGAAGTTAGAAATATATAAATGGCCATTTTAACCTTGACCAGCCTAAAATAAGAAATAGACTCTTTTTTAAGTGAGTTATTTTTCATATCTAGCAATTTGAAAGTCTAATATTAATGCAATATTTCTAGTGAAAAAGCCTTGTTATTATAAGCATGGCATGTGATGATGTGAAATGTTGGTTGGTAAGTGCTTCTATCACATTTATAGGTACTTTGACTGGTACACATTTGATTTCCTTTCTTGCCTCTACTTAGAAGCTGTTAAAATATTACTGTTAAAATCCAATATAATTTTGGTTTCATGTAATAAAAGCCAAATTCACTTTAAATCTTCTCAACTATCTACAAAGAGCTCCTCTATGTTTGTTGACATTCAGTGGGATCGAATGCATTGTGAAACCACTTAAATGATGCATTAGACAAATCAGCACCATGCTAAAATTTTACATGTTAAAAGAAGACTAAAAATTATTTTGTTAGGTTTAGGCAATATGTTATTTAGCAAACAGATAAATGTAGCAGACAAAATTTTTAAATTATATTGGTTATGAAATCATCCAGTCATGTCTGAATGATGGTGGTGAGTAGAAAAAGCAGAAAATTACCGTTAGTGTTTCTTTAAGGGAAACATGTGTGAATTCCTTCCTTATATTCAGAGAAGGCCTTGAAGGTATAATGGGCATAAGTCTAAATTAAATGTATGTATCGTACACTATATTGCTCTGAAGACTACTGGGGTGACAGTTTAAGTCTTAAAACCCATAAATATGAAAAAATAAAAATACCAGGGAGAGGGAAAATGAAGGTCGGATAAATAGTAAAATCGAATCCATGTTAAAGTTGGAAGCAAAAAATTTGCACCACTAAATCCTGCACTGTTAATGCTAGATGAAATGTGGTTAAAGCAAACAGACAAGATAAAAGCATGCACATTTCACAGGAAGCGTAAGTCTGATACTGAGCAAAAGTTCCCTTGTGGGCGCTCACAAAAATCATTAATATAGGGTGCTGATTCCTGATTCTGACGGCATGAAAGAATCTCCTGGAGCATCAGCACATATTAACATTCTTTGCCTCACTTTTTCTCAAAAGATTCTGAATCAGTTTTGGGAATGGATAGGATTTAGTAATCTGTTCTTTCAGTAAGTATCCTAGGTGATTCAGAAGCAGCTGACTCAAAAATTTAGTCACTGGACATCCAGTTTCTAGGTCTCTTAGTCTCAGTGGTCTGTCATCCATTCTGTACACAATGATCATGGTAATCATTTAAGAACGGAACTCAGCCTTCAAATGGTTTTGCATTGCACTTCAAGTCCAATTCCTTTTTCATGACTGTATACAGTTAGATTCCTGGTGAATTTTCAAAACTCATAACCTACCCTTCTCCCTCCATTTCCCCTATTCCAGTCACACAAACTAAAAAATAAAAGCTTCGGACCACCGCATTCCTTCCTGCCTCACATTTTGAACTTACTGCCCCCCCCCCCCCCCTTTTTTTTTTTTCCTGCCTGGACCGTCTTCCTGCAAATCTTTTTAAGGCTGGCTCTCTCACTTCATGTTTCTGTTCAGATGCCTTCCCTGGCTACCCTGTGGAAAATAGCACTGCCCTCCACAGCCCCATCTCCTAATCCTGCTTTGTTTTCCTTCATGCTCTATCACTACCTGTTATTACATAACTAATTACTAATTGCTCTTTTTTTTTTTGTTTCTGCCACAAAAATATTATCTCCAGGAGAAGTGGGTCTTTGTAGTATCCCATGACAGAAGGATGAAGAGTGATATATAATAAAGCAATTTTATTTTTTGTTCTTGTTCTTTTCTTTTTACGTTTTATTCTTTCCATGGTGAAAAGTGGGGTTATCTCTTAACCTTTCTCTATACTCTTGGATAAATGGAAAGCTCTCTGATCAGTTATTAAAATGTCCCATCTGATCTGACAGTCAAATTTAGAACTGATTTAAGGGTGAGTCCTTTCCTTACTTCTTAGCTGTGGCTGGTGGAAGACCAGCAGTTAGGGAGAAAGTTGTGTCGACATCTTGCCTTAACTACCTTTGCTTTGATTTATTCTCCCCTATTTCATTAGATGGAGGTCTTGGCCCTTCAGAATTGGAATGCAAGGGATTGGGGCAGGAGAGGTGAGGGAAATAGGAAAAGTCTCAACTTGGTTGGTACTATAAGGAACTGGGTTAGTTACTTTCTGGGCCCAACTTCAGGTTTTAAGAATTTTTTTTCTTTCATAGACACTTTCATGGATAGTAAGAAAGAACTGCTCTCATTGATCCCAATCTCTACTTGTAGTTCCCTTGATGAATATGAATGCTTTTCTCTTCCAATTAGTTCCCTAGTTCTTCTGCAGCCCCTGAGAATCTAGCAATACCTACAGCTCCTCTCAGCTGAGTTGTCTTTATCCCTCCAGCTCCCTGTAGTGAGGAGCAATATCTGGCCCATGAGAAACACATCTCCTTTTCCCTGATATACTCTAGGTGTACTGGCCAATCTCAATGTTGCCAGCTTCCTTTCCCTCAGCTGTCAAATAAATTAGCCTGCCTCCTGCACCTTTGATTTTCCAGATACCAGTCCACAGTGCCCCTAGTGCTCCAAATATTTAGCCCTTGGAGTGGTCTCATTAAAGCACCTCTCTCCTGGGAAGTGATGTGGGAGCATCCTTCATCACTTTTCTAAGAGGAATGGTGGTGGTTAGATCTCACAACATAGCAAAATTTAGAGTCAGGCTATGTTCTTATTGGCCAATGCCCATAACATAATGTTTGTTAAATAATTCTATTATTACTCTAGATCCAACCATGCTTGATTTTCAAATGGCTCAGAAATCCCAGATGGGAAAATGCAATCTGTTTGCATTGCATCTACAAAAGCAAAGGAAGAAGTGCACAATTAAATGGATAATTCAGAACAAAAATGCCTCAGGTATTGAAATGTTCTTGGCAAAATTTTAATATCTGAATCATTCTAAAAAGTATCAGAATTTGGCACATCTCCTAACGGTTCCAATAACCTTATGCTGAGTAAAACTATACATTTTTTCCTTTGACAAAATAGTCAATAAACATGTTTCTTTTCCAATAGAAAGAAGAGGAACATCACACACTGGGGGTGTGTGTGTGTAGGGGAGAGACATTGAGGGGTGAGGAGGGTAGGGAGGGTGGGGAGAAATGACAGATACGGTATGCACCTAAAGTAAAATTAAGAAAAAAAAAGAATTAAGTCATTTTTAAAATATCTTTCAAGGTCAGCTCTAGGTAAAAATGTGGTACAGATGGAGTTCTACTTGGATGGGATCAAGTGGAGGTATAAAACTTTTCCCCTCTACTGAATAAAACTAGAATTTTTCACCACATATCATCACACAATAAAAAACAGATAGTCGTCTTATTTTACTGACCGTCACTCATTTGTGTTTAAACTTTTTTCCTAATATTTGACTGTGTATTCTGTTTGGCTTATGCATATGGCAGACTGATTGCAAAATTGGCCTCAATTCTTTGTCCCTTCTTACGTGTCTTCACAGTTTCTCTTATCAAGGGATGGAGTCAATTTTCTCATCTCCTTGATTATGATTTACTTTGGCTAATAGAATGTGGTAGAAGTGTCAGTGTACCAGGTATGAGGATAGAGGCCTTTCGTCCTTCCACCTTCTTT